AGTGATCCCTGCTGGGTGTCCTTCGACGTGCTGGCTGCCCAGAACCCGGCCCTGATCCACGTGGAGGTTCAGGTGATGGACGTCAATGACAACGCGCCGCGGTTCCCCACGCCCGAGCTGGAGCTGGAGATCTCGGAGAGCGCATCCCTGCGGACGCGGATCCCGCTGGATCGAGCCCTGGATGCTGACGCTGGCCCTAATGCCCGCTGCTCCTACGCCCTCTCCCCCAATGAGCACTTTGCTCTGGAGGTTGTCTCCAGCTCCGATGGGACAAGGCATGCGGAGCTTGTCGTGGTTAAGGAGGTGGACCGGGAGCTGCACTCCTCCTTCGACCTCGTGCTGACGGCCACCGATCACGGGGAGCCACCAAAATCAGGTACTGCTTTGATTAAAGTCATTGTCCTCGACTCCAATGACAACAGCCCCGTGTTTGCAGAGAGCTCCCTGACGGTGGAGGTTCGGGAGGACGCCCAGCCCGGGACCCTCCTCGTGACGGTCACGGCCACTGACCCTGACCAGGGTCCCAACGGGGAGATTGAGTACAGCCTGAGCAGGCACGCGCCCCCCGAGGTGCTGAGCACCTTCAGCATCGATGCCCGCACGGGCAGCATCTTCCTGAGGCTCCCTCTGGACTATGAGGAGACCCACGCCTACGAGCTGGACGTGCAGGCACGGGATCTGGGCGCCAACCCCATCCCGGCACACTGCAAGGTCCTGGTCAAGGTCCTGGATGTCAACGACAACGCTCCCGATGTCCACGTCACCTGGGCCACGCGGGAGCCCGTGCTGTCCGAGGCTGTCCCCAAGGACAGCTTTGTGGCCCTGGTGACAGCCAGTGACCCTGACTCAGGAAGCAATGGGCAAGTGCTCTGCTCCCTCAGCCAGGGCTACGAGCACTTCAGGCTGAAGAGGACCAACAGCCACAGCTTCGCGCTGCTGACCAACGCCTCGCTGGACCGCGAGCGGCGCGCCGAGTACAACCTGACGCTGGTGGTGAGGGACATGGGGGACCTGTCCCTGGCCGTGCTGAAACACCTCACCATCTGCATCAGTGATGTCAATGACAACGCCCCAGCCTTTGAGAAGGCCGCTTACGAGGCTGCTGTTGCTGAGAACGGTGAAGCACCTGCCTTCCTGCTCACTGTCCGTGCCACTGACCCTGACCTGGGCTCCAATGGGAAAGTCACCTACAGGATCCTGGACCCCTCTGCTTTGGGGCTGGTCTCAGTCGATCCCATCACTGGAGACATTTTTGCCCTCCAAGCTTTTGATTATGAGCAGGTGAGGAGCCTAGAGTTCCTGGTGACAGCAGAGGATGGAGGGCATCCCAAGCTGGCATCCAACATCTCCATCAGGCTGGCTGTGCTCGACCGGAATGACAACGCACCCATCATCACCACACCAGCGCTGGTGGGAGGGGTGGCCACGCTCTCTGTCCTGGTCAATGTGGACACCGGCTGCTGCTGGGTGGTCCCTGGGAATGGGAGCACCCAGGGGGCTGTGGCAGTGACCAATTCCACACTCGTGTCGTGCCCTGCCAACCCCTTCCTCTTCACCATCGTGGCCCGGGATGTGGACTCTGGCACCAACGGGGCTCTCCGGTATGATCTGGTGGGTGGGGATGATGCCGGGCTCTTCATCCTGGACCCGCTGCTGGGNCCGGGTGGCTGCGATGGAGGGGAAGGATGAGCAGCCCGGGCCAGGATGGAGCGGGTGGCACGGGGAGGTCACTTCAGCCGAGGTCACCTTCAGTTGGTGTCACCTTCAGCCGAGGTCAGCTTTAGCCAGTGTCACCCTCAGCCGGTGTCACCTCCAGCTGGTGTCACCTCCAGCCGGTGTCACCTTCAGCCGGTGTCACCTCCAGCCGGTGTCACCTTCAGCCAGTGTCACCTGTAGCCAGTGCCACCTTCGGCTGGTGTCACCTTCAGCCAGTGTCACCTTCAGCCGAGGTCACCTCCAGCCGAGGTCACCTTCAGCTGGTGTCACCTTCAGCCAAGTTCACCTTCAGCTGGTGTCACCTTCAGCTGGTGTCACCTTCAGCCGGTGTCACCTTCAGCCAGTGTCACCTTCAGCCGGTGTCACCTTCAGCCGGTGTCACCTTCAGCCAGTGTCACCTTCAGCCGGTGTCACCTTCAGCTGGTATCACCTTCAGCTGGTGTCACCTTCAGCCGAGTTCACCTTCAGCCGGTGTCACCTTTAGCTGAGGTCACCTTTAGCTAGTGTCACCTTTAACCGGTGTCACCTTCAGCCGGTGTCACCTTCAGCCGAGGTCACCTTTAGCCAGTGTCACCTTCAGCCGGTGTCACCTCCAGCCAGTGTCACCTTCAGCCGGTGTCACCTTTAGCCAGTGCCACCTTCAGCCGAGGTCACCTTCAGCTGGTATCACCTTCAGCCGGTGTCACCTTTAGCTGGTGTCACCTTTAGCCGGTGTCACCTTCAGCCGGTGTCACCTGCTGGTTGTGGGGAGATGAGCTCAGCTCACCCTGAGGGAAGGTCCCTGCACCTCCTGCAGAGCTCCGTGCCTGGTGTCAGAGGGGGAATCACGTCCTTCCTCCTGAGAAAGGGCCCCCGGGAGCCTCGCAGGTCCCTGCAGGCAGCTGGGGATGGGGAAGGCTCTGGGCTCCCTTGTGCAGCTGCTCCACACACACCTCGTGCTCAGGGAGGGATTGCTGGCCACTGAAAAGGGAGTGACACTTCTAAAGGAGCAAAGGCTGTCTTTGAAGGGCTGAAAATTCATGGAATCATGGAATACCCCCAGTTGGAAGGGGCCCACAAGGATCAGCCTGTCCAGCTCCTGGCCCTGCACAGACCCCCCAACAATCCCACCCTGTGCATCCGTGGAAATGGTGCCCAAACCCCCCTGGAGCTCTGGAGGCCTTGAGCACTGGAAGGGGCTTCAAAGTCTGCCCGGAGCCTCCTCTTGTCCAGGTGAACATCCCCAGCTCTCAGCCTGTCTTCATCAGAGAAAATTATTAGATGTGGAAAAGCCTCTTCACTCTCATTTTGAGCTGCCCTCCGCTGTTATGTGTTATGTGTTATGGCACAGCTCCTGGTCTCAGGCTAGCACTGTGTCAGCCCAAAATGACAAAGTTTGAACATCTCCAGCTGTGCAGTGGAGCTCGAAATGACCTGGTGGTGCTGCTCTCTGCCAGGTGATGGACAGGGAGAGTGGTGCCTCCAGCACAGCTCTGCACCCCTGGGAGCTCAGGGTGTGCCCGTGCCCTGCTCTGGAGCCTGGGGAGCAGCTGAGCTGCAGAGAGCCAGGTTGGCACTCCTGAAAATGGCATTTCCAGCTGCTCTGGGCACGGACAGCGTCGGGCAGGAGCTGAAGGAAGCACACAGTGATTGCACACAGTGAATGCATGAAGTGCTGTAAGAATTCAATCCTTCCTGAGCTTTAAATGAAAGGGTTCAGGTGCAGTGTAAACCTTAGAGGAGGATTTTTGTGTTTGTAGCCACCGCAGTGGTCACGGAGGTCCTGAAGCACGTCGGGAGCCTGCTGGGGTGTGAACAGGAAACAGGAGGAGACACGTTTTGTTTTTAGCACCAGATCTCATTTCCCTGCCTGTGCTTCTGGCAAGTCTCAGCTCGACCCCGTTTTTCTTTCCTATTTTCTTGCAGCTTTCTGTCCATCTCCCTCCACGGCACTGATTTGCAGCTCAGCCATGCTTTTGCAGCATCCTCCTGCCAGCTGGGAATGTTCTGCTGGCTGAGGGTCACAGGCCTGGTCTGTAGGGGTTTATTCTGGAAGAATCATCAATAATTCATGCAGGAGCTCCTCCAGCTCCTCCTGGGCAGGCCAGACCTGTCACCAGTGCTGGGATCTGTACAGCCAGGCTGGGGACAGTGCTCAGGGGGCTCACAGCCTGGTGACAGTGACTTCTCCTCCCAGCCTTTTCCTGAGCAAACTGGTACTCAAAATCCCACCTGGGGAGAAAAATGAGTGGTTTGGAGGTTTGGGATCCTCCCAGCTGAGGGGTGGGGATGGCAGCAAGTGGGGTCTGGCAGGTGGGTGCTGGAGTCAGGGGGAATTCACCTCCTGTGGTGTCTGTGATGGGTTAAACATGGGCACTGGGGGAGAGTGGCTTGTTCTGCAGTGGGATTGGGAGGTGATGGGGCAAGGAAACCCAGGCAGGGCTCCTCGGGGAACTCTCACAGTCCTGGGGTGTCATATTATGTCCTTTCCCTTGTGATGTTACAGCGTGGTTCTTCTGTTCCGCTCCATCCCTGAAAAGGAAAAGCATTAAAAAACCGCGAGGTGGAGGGATAACAGCCCCAGCAGAAGGAAGTGGCCTTCCCACCTCCCCTCCCAGAATCGGGCACGGGCTGTGAGACATCCGCTTCTCCAGCCGGAGCTCCGCGGGCAGCGGGAGCGGGCGGGAGCAGGCGGGATCATCCCTCCGGGAGAGCCCCGGGCTGCGCAGGAGGAAGCGCGAGCACAAAGCAGGGAAATGACTTGGCAAAGGTCACCTGGAGCTGGGGCCGAGCCCAGGAATAGCACCGGGCTCCG